GCGCCGCGCGCCATTCGAGAAATACGCGAATGGAACGCGCCGGGGCACGACGGTTGTTTCTCCGCGCGCTCGCGTCCGCGATGAATGCGGACCACGCGCGGGTTTTCTCTCTCTCTCTCTCCCCTCTCTCTCTCTCTCTCTCTCTCTCTCTCTCTCTCTGTCTCTCCTTCTGTCGAGCGGGTTTCAGGGTTTTTGCCAGCTCCTCGCTCGAACCAGTTTTACTCTTGAAAAATCGCCGCGCGAATCGCGCCGCTGCCATGCGCGCTCGCGCCGGCGCGAGCGCGAGCACGCGCGCCGCGCTACCACACACGGGCCTTTTGGCGATATCTCGACAAGATATTCGGCGCAAGTCGCCGCTAATAAGCGTAATATATTAGGGTGCCTTTTGTCCGCGCCTTTCAGCGCTCCGTGTCGAGCCGAATCCTGCCGGGATTGGATTTGGATGAAAGGAGGAGATGCGCGCAGGGTGGAGTGCAGGTTGGCGCGGGAGGGGGAGAGAGAGAGAGAGAGAGAGAGAGAGAGAGAGAGAGAGAGAGAGGGTCGTAAAATGTGTGTGTGTGTGCGCGCGCGCGCGCGCGAGGAGAATCTTTCGAGCGGGATTCAAAACCGCCTGCACGAATCCGGGCGCGAGAGACAAATGTGTTTCACGATATGGAGACAAAACGCGGCAGCGCGTCGGCAGGACGACGACGCGACGGCGAGGACGAGGAGGAGAGAACGAGGATGACGACGACGGCGAGTCGTCAGCGTCATTCGTTAAGTCGTTTTCATGTTTAAACGGCCGCGAGATGGAGACGAGGCGGAAGAAGAAAGCGAGAAGGACCGTGGTGGCTTCGGAGCCAATGAAACGGCCGATGAAAGGGGCCCTCTTCTCCCTCCTCCTCCCTATCGCTCTCTCGCTCTCCCTCTCTCTCTCTCTCTCCCCCCCTCCCTCCCTCCCTCTCTCTCTCCACCTCCCTCACCCCCTCGTCCGACATTCCTCCGCGCCGGGGCCCGAGCGTCATTACTCAAAGGGAATACTGTCGCGATGGCTCGTCCGGCTCGTGGATCTTTCTAAAGGAACACCTCGGAGAACGAGAGTTGCCGGTGTGAGTCTGTGTGTATGTGTGTGTGTGTGTGTGTGTGTACGCGCACGCATGTGTCATGTATGTACGTCGACGCCACGAAGAAATCTGTCAGCCAATGATGCGCGTCGGCGAGCACGCTCTTCCTTCCAGATTTATGAGCGCGATGCGTCTCCTCCTCGGCGCGATCCGCCTGCGTAATGCTGTCTCCTCGCGCGAAACAACCCTCATCCGCGCGACATTGCCTCTAGCCTCGCGCTCCCTTCTCCCCGTAATAATCCCGGAATACTCTTAAGCCCATGAGACGAGCGTGCTAGTTGCGCGCGATAAGTGCGTCGACCCTGAGGTCTCACGTGTGCAGGTGTGACTTTAGACAGAGTCATCCTTAAAGATCGAAGCCGGCTTTAAGAGCGCCTCTGTGCGCGTCGCACCTGTAGTGCGTCGCGACGAGAGCGAGAGTCAGTGTCGATAAATCAAGGATATATTCATGGGTAATCAGGTGTTTCAAAGTGAGACACGTTTAAAAGTCCGCGGACAAGGCTTTTATTTTTTAAGCAATGACGCGCGACAGGTCGAACGCTTCACCCAGATAAACAGACTCGGAAGAAAATGCTACTCACACACGGAGAAGAAGTCAAATCGACGGTATGGTGACGGTTGCAGAGTGGCTAACCGGCCAACGGCAGATTGGCAGCTTCCGCGAGAGCGGATCCTCCGGGGAGATGATGATCATCTCCCTCGCCGCGCGAGCAGAGTCCGCGTCTCGCGTCGCCATTTTCGGGCATTCTCAGCGGCGGGCGGCGCGTATCGGCGGCGATTCTTCGGCGATGGAGAAACCGGTCGCGCTCTCGCCTCCGTCATGGAATAACGAGTGCCGCTGAGAGAAACCGGCGGTGCCGGAGGGGAACGACGCGGGTAGAAGGCGAGGGAGGAAGGACGGGTGGCAAGCAGGCATCAGGCAGGCAGGCAGGCCACTCTCTCGAATAACGCGAAGCGTAACACGTGGGCGCGGAGTGCCCGGAGAGAAGATAAACGGATTACGGGCGCTTTGTGTCAACGTGATCCACTTCCCCTCGGCACCCGTGAGCCGAGCGAGCCCCCGTGCCCGCCGTCCGACCTATCTTCAATGCGATATTACGCGCTCCAGTGCCGGTAACACCGTTCGGTCGGCAGGACGCAGTCGCTTCGGGCCGATAACCAATTTTCATTACTCTAAATTAATTCCGCCGGCGGTCGGCCGGCCGCCGCTCCCCGCTCGACCCGATGCCGCTCGCGATGCGGAAACGCTCGAGAAAAAATCGCGACTGTGACCCACTTGGATTCCGCTGGGGGAGAGATTTATTTACGAATCCGGCGAGTACGTTAATTTGACGAGTACGAGGGACGATAACCGCGAAGAATCCTCCGGATGCGATCGACGCAGCCATATTGGCTCGCGAGGATCGTCGTTACTTGAAATCCGTTCCACTTGGGGCGAAGTCGCAATTATCTCGCCGTATCCGCGCCGTCGAGAAACTCGCCCTCTAAACGTCGTCGTCGTCGTCGTTGCTCGACTTTGAGCTATCCGACTTTATTACGACGGGATCCACTCGTGACGCGACAAGGTGACCCAGTCATCAGCCGATGACAGAGACAAGGCTATTGTGCCGTCCAGGATCGGCAGTAATCGGCGTCTAACGGTCTCTCTTGCTTGCGCCGGAGATGAGATCGAGGAGAGACACAGGAAGAGACGCAGAACGCGCGCGCGCGCGCGCGCACGTTCGAGTCGATGGGAGGAGGAGGAGGAGGAGGAGAAGGAGGAGGTGGTGATGTTGGAGCCGAAGGAGGAGGAGGAGGAGGAGAAGGAGGAGCAGGAGGAGACGGAAGAGAGATGAACGTGGGTGGGAGTCCCCTCATGCGGATCCATCGCAGACGCATTCCCTTCTCCGAGGATATCTCCTCATTGTACTCACCCCTTAATCAACAGCTCCCTGCCGTCCTCCGTGGCCGTTCGATGCTTATTGATATAGCTCACCCCCTCCGTTTCCACCCTCCATATATCTCCGACCATATGAACGCGTCCACGATCGCGTACATACGCGTATATGTGCCTCCGAATGCATGCTTGTGTGTACGTGTATTTCGCTCCTCTCTCTCTCTCTCTCTCTCTCTCTCATCAACTATCTCTCACGCTCTCTCCCTGCCCTCCGCCTCCCTCTCGCCCCCTCACTCTCTGTCTCTCATCCTCTGTGTATGTGTGTATTTCTATATACCTGTGCGTGCGCATCGCGTCGCCGCGTATGACGTCCCATAGCCGCGAACCATGGAGTATTTGCATGACAACGTTGGTGAGCGTAAGCGCGTGCCTCTCCGTCCTTCGCGCTCGCTAATTAGCCGGCGCCACATACCGGCGTGGATTAACGAGAATATTGCATTTTTAATAGAGTTCGCCCCCCTGCGGCTTCAGCCAGGAGTCGGCAGCACCCCCGGATTCCCCGGGAGCGAGCAAGAGAGAGTGAGTGAGTGAGTGAGAGAGAGAGAGAGAGAGAGAGAGAGAGAGAGAGAGAGAGAGAGAGAGAGAGAGAGAGAGAGAGAGAGAGAGAGAGAGGCCGCGGTACGGGGGAGCCGCGCGGCAGTGATTTCAACGACGACCTCGTCTCGCACGCCTCGTTGCTCGCTAAGGATCAGCGCGAAGAGGACTTTGATGTCTTTCCCGGCGAGTGAACTTCCGGCGGATTTATTAAGGGACGGACGCGCGCAAATCGCGCCGCGGGCCGATCGCGTGAATGCGATTTACGATTCCGCAGCGGAGGCTCGGCCGAGCGCCGAGCGAACAACGACGCGTGTAATGACGCACGCACGAGCGATGAGCGAGCGAGTGCCTCCGCGCTCGCGCGCGACCAACCCCGAGGGCGGAAATTAATTTCGCACGCGTGTGGGTCGAATGATTCCCGCGAAGCTGCGCGTATCACGCCATTTTTACGGTCCATCGGTAAATCGGGAAAATGGAAAGAGATCGTCGGACGAGGAGCGCCGCGCGCTGCATCGATAAGCCGATTTCTCGAATTCAATCCGACACCGTACACGCGCCCGAGCCTGCAGCGGCGGCACAGTCGACACCTCCGCCGCCGCCTCTGTCCCCCAAAGGGCCGTTCACCAGTGGCCAATATTTTTTTTCCTTCGTTTCTCTCGTTTTCCTTTTTCTTCTTTTCTTCACTTTTTACTTTTTCCTCTCTCTCTCTCTCTCTCTCTCTCTTCTTTTTTTCTTTTTTTCTTTTTTTTTTTTTTACAGAAGAGGGATCAATTTAAACGTTCAAAGAAGATACGCGCGCGCATCCCTCGGGTAGTCGCGCGAAAGAGTGAGAGGGGAAGGGGGAGGAGGGAGAGAGAGAGAGAGAGAGAGAGAGAGAGAGAGAGAGAGAGAGAGAGAGAGAGAGAGAGAGAGAGAGAGAGTGCGCGGTCGGTCGGTCCTCCACCGCTCGAGCTCGTTCGCTCGACTAGCTCCGCTGATTGCTGCTGCATCTTTGATGACCTCGTCCGGACGAAAAGAAGAGGCGAGCTCGCCTGTGCAGATCGAGGGCAGGCGGTCCGTGCCCCTCCGTACCCTCCCCCCGGGCCGCGCGGTACCCTGTGCAAAGAGCGAAACGTTGAGATTGATATTTTAACAGACGGATTACGTAAGAAGGGCGGGAGAGGGCCCCGGTCGTTTCGCCTCCGCGAATAGGGCACACGCGAGCCGACGACGTCATAATCCTCAACGATAAAGAGAGAGAGAGAGAGAGAGAGAGAGAGAGAGAGAGAGAGAGAGAGAGAACCGTCGTCGTGACGACGCTTAATCGATACCGCTCGTTTCTTCTCGCCGTTTTAACGAACACACGCGTGTTAGAAGAAAAAAAAAAGCAGAAGAACGAGCGGCGGAATGACTGGTCTAAATCTTTCGTCTCCTTCTGCTTGCAGGTGTCACACCCGCCGAGTCGGAGCGGCAACCCTTCAGCGAGGATCAAGGGTGAGTGTGTGAGATAAATGTTTGGAAAATCGCGCGCATGCCACAACGCACTTCCGACGCGATCGCACGACAACGCGGGTCCGCACTTTCCGCTCCAAGTCGTTCTCACGAGCGAGCGTTAGTCCGCGATAGTCAATCAAGGTTCGCCGTTCACGCGAGCTTTCCTCAAAACGTCAACGACGAAGCGATCTCGTGAATCTCGATCATCGACGAAGCGTCAACCACACGGCTGACACGCGGTCACTGTCCGCGATGAGGCCGTGAGATTTCCGCTCGCTCGCCGTGTGTTTCGTCCCGGCCTTTTTCGGCTGGGCTATCTACATTCCTTCCCCCGCTTTCGCCGAAGGTGCGAAGCCGTTGTCGGCGCGGCTCAAAGCGAGCTTACGTGACTCGCTGTGCAGCGCGACGCCGTTAAACGCCGCCCTCTCTGTGTATTGTGCGCGCACGTACATTCGCGCGTGTACATGCACACACACACACACACTCGCGCAAGCACGCTCTAGACCGGATACGTATTAAGCGCTATCGCCGACGAGGCGTTATTAATCGAGTCATTGCGAGCCGAGGTGAGGAGATCGACCTTGCGAGGCGCGCCGGTGGGCGACTGTTCCTGCGTAAAACGACGAATGGGGGGATCAGGCGGCGTTATTAATAACCGATAATTTGATACGCTTCCAGCCATCCATCCTGCCGTCTCCCGGTCCCGATCTTCCCTCTGGCGCACTTGGATACCTCCTGTCGTCCGTCTGTGTCTGTGCCTGGCTAGCGTATGTACCGCGCACAGACGTGCGCCGCATATCGCTCTTCCCGCGCGAGATCCAATCGAGAGAGAGAGAGAGAGAGAGAGAGAGAGCTCGTCCCGACGTCGATCGATCTCTCGCAAGGTCGAACGAACGAACGGCAGAGCGCGAGAGAGCGTTTTTGGTCTCAGCTTCGGGGCCTCTTCACCCTCTCCGCCCTCTTCCTCTCTTCCGTTCCGCCTCGCGTCGGGAAGTGAAGGACGCTGTAGGGTAGCTTTCCGCCTTCGAGAGGCGATCGTTTTCGTGCGATCCTGCGGATCGAAACGGATGCTGACGCTTGTAGCCATCGCTACGAGAATACTCGGACGGAACGTTCCTCGAGAGGTGCGCTAATTAGCGCTGAGGAGAAAGTCATGGCACTTTGGAGGAATTATTTCTTCTTCGACTTTACACCAGATCGCGCTGGAAGCGCGACCGGTTTGCAACCGGTAAGAGTATCTTTGAAGGAATTTCCGTGAATCTTAAGTTGCCGAGTGCAAGTCGTGGGGTGTATACAAAGTACACGTACGCGTGAGAGTGGAGTGACCGCGAGTACCGTAATGTGCGCGACCCTTTTGTCTGAGTGAACAGCACACGCTCGCCCCTCCGCCCCTCCCCCCGCCTCCCTCAGACAGTCTTATATCGCTGATTGAACTGCTCGGTTCCCTTGTCTAATAACTCGTCCGCGGAACGTCAAGTTCTCGAAAATACGACCAATACATCGGCACGACGAGCCGATCCATAAGAGTCACGGCACGAGGAGTGAAGCCGACTCGCTGAGGGGAGGCCATGAGAAGCCTCATAATTCGAATGAATATTTCATCCGAGAAAAGGGACATAATATCCAGCCCGGGCTTTTCCTCGGGATCCCGGCGCAGGAAGCGTACAGCCATGGCCGGCAATCAGAAACGCATTATCGGACAACCGGCCGGCGTAATATGTTTGACCGTGTTCGAGAACGCGGAACGCTTTTCCCGCACCCGGTCCGTCCTTTTCGCCGGCGCACACGAGCCGATCCCTGCTTCCCATTCCGTCCGGATTTGACGATCCGCGGAAGCGCTTTGATCCCGCGAAAGCAACACGCAGCTTTCGAGACGGGAAATGGGATCGATTCCGCGGTCAAAAGTACCCGCGTGCCCCCACGCCGCCAGCGCTAACGAGCTTTTGTTGCTGCCGGGCTTTGGCCGGCCTTCCGGTCGCGCGTAATCAGCGTTGGGCGACGTCGGATGAAGTCGGATCAGAAGTCACCGGCGCTGCTTAATTGGCTCGAACTTCGCGGTGGCCGTGCGCGAATCCGCGAGCTTCGCTTGACCGCGTCTTCGCGCAGCGACGTCATGCGCGTCGTGCGATAGTCGGCCTGGGATTTCAGGTCTAAGTTCGAGGGTTTAAGACTAACTTGAGGCTCGAGATTGTTTGAAGTTTATCTCAGCTCACCGTTTCCTACAGTTGACTGCATGGCTGCTTGACCTGTTCAAGAATGAATTGATTAAAATTAGAGAAGAGGACGATTTTCAATTTAAAAGTGACATAAATACGACAAGTGTGTGTACGAAATTTTTATTCTCCTTGTGTGGAACTCCGTTGTTTATTCACAGTCGTGTCGTCAGTTGTCGATACTTGAATCGAGAAAGAAAATGAAGAAGAGATCAAGAAAGATTTTTCTAATTTGTTGATAACACGCGTAACCCAAATATATTACTGTACTGCGCGTTGTACTGCACACATTAGTTTGATACCTGAAACATTGAAACAAAAGCAAAGAACGACGGATCGTCGCGAGATAAATAAATTTCTACGAATCCGTCGGTAAGGGAAGTCAGGGACAATTTCAACGGCAAAGGCGTTCGGATGAACTCGAGACGATCTTAAACGTGTAAGATGTGAATACCCCGCCCTCAGAGACGGAAATCTAAATTTTTCAAGACCGCATCGACGCGTAACCAATGACAAACGCGAAGCTTTTCAAAAGCGGCCGAGTTTCTACAACTTGCGGAGGGACGCGCGTTCATCGCGTGACCCTTCGAAACCTTAGCACCAGCTCCTCGTTCCATCGTCGCTTTTCGTCGGTCCCACTCCGCTCCTTTGCGCGTCACTCCCTCGTAATTAATCATTCCTCCTCTTCCTCCTCCTCCTCCTCCTCGTCGCGCCCCTCGCGTCGCGGCCTCTACTCCTCTGGCCGTCAAACGGAGGCAGTATGGCCGCGAGCCGCTCCAGGACAGCGATATATACATACAGCTTACACCTTGGCGGGTTCTGTCTACCCGTCAGCAGGCTCGCGTGGATCCAATGCGCGAAGCATCGCGATTCGGCCACGCGAGATCTGCCGGCGAATTTTCGCGAAACACGACACCTGACATCCACGAACACGCGAATCTCTCTCCACCTCTCACGTGACCTTTTTCTCTCGTGTGAAAAGGCTGAATACCCGAGTCGGAATCTTGACCGCATTTTCGGCCTCAACTGTTTAAAGTTTACAAGTTCCGGAGGACCAACGGACATTTGATTTGTATAGAAAGATTAGGTTAGGTACTCACTCGGCACCTCCACAAATGATAGGAAACATACAATTCGTCAGTGGTAGGTTTTTAGAAGGACCTCTTGGCGTCAATAAAGAGTCAAAATAGTTGGACATTTCTTCTCAAACGTTCTCAAAGGGCAAAGATGCGCGTGACGTACGAACGAGCGCTCATCATTTTCGGTAACTTTTCGTTACCTTAGACATTAGAAATATTATCGTCATAACCGTACGCAGTGGTTCGTTCAAATGTATATGGCATCAGCATTAATCTGTTATCGTTATCAGCACCAAAAGGAAATGTTTAATGAAAATTATCACGACGCACGGACAGATTTCGCAAGCAGGTTTATACCTGAAGAACGCTTCTGCGTCAACACGCACGTTCTTCGCACGTGACGTTTCTATCGAGCATAGTCGCCTCCGCCCGAAATTTCTGCCCGAAATTAGAAAATTTCACTTTTCACGAGTTCACGCGAATGCGGAAAGAAAAGAAAGATATTCGCGATCGGCCCGCCAGAGAGAGACCGTCGCCGGAGCTCGCGAGCGAATTTTCGTTTACCGCGTTGCTGCGAAATCCTGCCGACTACGGATTCCGATTTCTTCAGCGTTATTCAGCGATCTCGGTCTCCCTCGGCGAACTCGTATATTATTATTATTATTATTAATACTGTTGTTATTGTTATTATTGTTATTATTAACAACGTTCCCCAATTTATCCAATTAAGCGGACTGGCGGAGCTCGGAGAATATTACGGGGCATCCGAAAATTAAGTCGAAATTCGCGTCGCGAAAATTTCCACAGCGAGACGGGGACAACACGCGTCGGAGGAAGTAGTCGCAGGCGCGACGATGCGGCCCATGTAGAATTCGCTTTAATCATCTCCATCTTCCAAGACCCGTTAAGAGACTTCTTTCCTTCCGGCTAGATGCAGGGGGATCTTTCTCACCTCTCGCGTCTGCTGCTTCGTTCTTCCCTTCTGCGCGCGCGCTCGCTCCTCTCTCTCTCTTTCTCTCTCTCTTTCTCTCTCTCTCTCTCTTTTTCTCTGTTTTTTCTTTTTAATTTTTCAGCCGTAATCACGGCACTATTACACTCGGACCATTTTAATGAATTCCTCCCGCCTGTCTCTCGCGAGAAACTGAGATCCAGCCGCGATCTTATCCCTTTCGCGCGCACTTCCGCGCGACTCTCGCGTCGAGGACTCGTGTGGGGAGGGCGGGAGGGAGGCACAATAGTGTCGAGGAGGGCGGCGGAACGGGGGCGATGGGGGAAGTGCGCATACCACGGCGAACAGTTCGGATGATATTTCGACCGGGACGGAAAACCGCGCGCGCCGGAAGCGCCAAGGAGGCGAGCGATGCCGTGCGAAAATCATCTCTCGTGAATTCGAGTCCACGCAAATACAATTAAAAAAAAACTCTCTCTCTCTCTCTTTCTCTCTATCAAGCACGCTGTTTTTGTTTCGCGAAATGGGTTGGTTTCTTCAAGATTCTTCTCTAATCTCTTAATACGGACGCGCTTTCGAAATGACAGCGCTCGTTGTCCGTTCGGCGATTATCGTGATGAGACGGGGGAATATTTGTATCTGCGGAGTGTAGCGAGAGAGTGAAAACGTTGCGAGAAGAACTGTACGGCAACAATCCGAATAGAAATGTAAATAGTTGATCTGAGTGAAACGCACTCGTACACGCACGAAGGCTGGGGA